TAGGGTGATGACCACAGCCGCGGTCTTAGGGGCGAGGAGCAGGGCAGCAGCGCGTTTCTCCCTGCGCTGCTGCTGCCGTCGTTGCCGCTGCGCCTTTTTTCGGCGCTTCCGGCCCTCCTTGGCGACTCTCCTCGCCTCGCCGGCGATTTGCCATCCGCCGCCATCCTCTGCTTGCGGGGCGGGTTCCGCCGCCGCCGCCGCAACGCCGAGGCCCTCGCTGGGGCAGCCGGTCGCGCCTTTGCCGGCGGTTGGGAGCTGCGGCTAGCCTGACCCGAGGTCGAAGGCTTGGCCGCAGCGGCCGCGTACGACCGCGGGACCGCGGGGGCGACCTGACTCGTCGCGAGCGGGGGCCGCAAGAGCCTACCCTCCAGCACGTCGAAACGTCGCTGGAAGGCAGCCATCTCCGCCCGCAGCAGTCCGACTACGTCGGCCTCCGCCGGGGGCTGGGGGCGACTGCCGCGAGCAGCGGCGAGCTCGGCCCTGGCCGTCCGCAGCTCGGCCTCCAGAGCCGCGTTAGAGGCCGCCAAGCGCGCCAGCTCTCGCCGCATCTCGGCCAGCTCAGAGCGCACGTTTCCCGCAGTGGGCACCGCACGTTGCTCCAAGGCCGCCTCCGTAATGGTGGCCGCCGCCGCCTTGAGGAGGCGGAGCCTAACCGGCTGGGATTTCCCCATCGCCAGCTTGTAGAGCTCCGCCGTAATGGCCTGTTCGAGGCCCCCGGAGCAGCTCTCGCTCTCAGAGCCGCGCTCGCCCTCCGATATCTCCACGCCGGACATCTCGGCCGCAGAGGACTCCGAACGGGCAGTGCTCGAAAGAGCCCTGCCCTCCGCAGCCAGTTGCTCGGCTGGCTCCGCGCAGGCAGCTGGTGCCGGTTTCCGGCGACCGCTGCCCTTGCCGCCCCTACCCCGCGCTGCCGTGGGGACCTTGGGGGGAGGCGCCTCCCGAGCGCTGGAGGACGGGGACAAACTGTCCTCCTCCAGCCGGGGCGTTTGAACGTCCCCGTCGCGCGGCGGCGTGAGCCTTTCGAGCTCACGCTCAGCCGCTCCGCTAATGTTGTGTCGGACTCAGAGTCCGACCCCCTCCGACTGGACTCCCGTGTGTGGGGCCTGCTGGACGAGTCCAGCGCCTCACCACGAGTCCCGGAGCCACTTGGGCTCCCTTCTCCTGCTACTGCAGGCGAGCCAAGCTCACCCGCACTCTCCTCCTCCGGTTGTGTGGTTTTTTTTATTTTGTTCAACTCCATAAAGTTCCCACGAGTATGGGGGAAATATTCGGTCCACCCAGGCAGTGCCCCCTGTACCTGGGTAAGTGTTCATTTGTTTCCCAACTAGAGGTTCCACTGGTCCCCTAGCTGGGGGTGCGCTCGCGACTGACACTACTCCTCAGCCATGCATACTCTCGCCGCGCACCAGAACTTAGTATTGGAGGAATTTTTTATAGAGGTTATCTTCCTCGCGGTCCGGGCGACCAAGCCAAGACCCTCGTCCCGTTCAGAGTCACAAAACATGACCGTGATCTCCTTACGGATTACGATATCGACGGCTGCAATCGGGGACAGCTTGTGTCCCGATGCTGCTCGCTGGCAGGGTGAGTGCACAACGAGCACCGCCATTGCCTCTCCGCCACGCTCTCTGCTATGTCCAGAGAGACGGGCGGAGAAGCGCCCCTCGGAAGCGCGGGCTATGAGCCTCCGCACACAGCCCGCCGCCTCCAGAACCCTATTGGGTTCGCCCGCCCAGTCCAGAAGTCTGCTGCGGGCGACAGTCACTCCAACCCTATCATCCCCGCTAGGGAGACTGTCGCCCGCACCCAGGGTGCACCACGGGGAGGTCTTCTGGCACCGCACCCCAATACATGCAACTATAAGATTATAATACCACAATGTTACTCAGTTAAAAAAACAATAGGTAGGTATAAACTGGCTGATAAATCTTAAGAAAGAACACACAATGACACCATGATAAACTACCAAACATTATTCGGTAGTTGTTGACGATTTCATTAAAAACAATTATTAAATTTGGGATATACATAGGTACCTGCTATGTATAGGTACCTACAGAATATCTACCTTGCCACACATAAATTATTTCAATCAATTCTCCTTTTTTTGTTTCCAAACATTTTTTGGTATTCTCGTTTAGATGTAAAACTACCCAATTAAGACTTTAATTGCCAAGTAATGGTGAAAGTCAAACCTCCACTACCACCAGGCACCGGTGACGTACGTGGCACTATATTGGTTAAAATAAAATTCAGAATAAATAGGTACTAGGGAACTAAAGATTTACATTTATTTGAGAGATATGTAGAACTTTCTGTTTAAAAAACACACTAAAAGTCTAAGGGCCTTTTTCACCATGTCTGCATAGACGCAGTGTACCAGATAAATGAAATTTAGAACTGTAAACGAACTGCCACATAGTTTACCAGATTATTATCTACATGGGGATATTTCCTAGTATGTATATTTGGTTTTACCACACTAGCTAGTGGCCAGCCCAGGCTTCGCACAGCACGCATTTTTCAGATTTTTAGCTTTCATAAAAACCGTATGATAGCAAATTATACACATGTGCTATTGGAGACATCTATGTCAACCAGTGGATGAGCTGATGATGTTACCAGTCTGATTATTTTTATATACTTATGTATCAGATTTACCAGGTTTTCAGAAAACACCCACAAACCCCTCCACTGCTGAACACAGAGTCTACAATAACAGGTATCAATGTTTCAAAAATAATAACTCCACTTAGTAGTTTTGTTTTAAGTATTTTTAATTAACAATAACGTATTAGTGTACTAAAGTACACTGGATAACAACATCAGTCGATTACTGATCTTTACACAACACTACTGGTATTGCCTGCACGAACAATAGCCATGTTTGTTAGCGCGCAGTGTTTTTCTAATTCATAATTTAACCATCATTCGTGCCGGTAAATATACCACGTATATCCATGTTAAATAAATAATATTCTTAATCTTAATACACTTAATTACAAAATGCACAGCTGTTTGATTAAATGGTTGATTTTCTCATTTAGGTATGTAGTTGAAATGTGGGATGTTTTTCATTTGAACTAGAATGATAGGGTTAAGTTAGCAACAAATGCAACCCTAGAAAAGTTGAACACTATCAAAAATATATCAGTAGATAGTACTACAATACCATTGAACAAATGGACTAGGCACTAAATTGAACGATTAATGAAGTTATTTGACTACACCATATATCAGTCCAGTGGCGCTTAGCAACTATACAATACACTCAGTCAAATCACAGATACATTTATAATATTATCTTAATATCACATTTTCAGTCTTGTTACTTGTGTACTTTAAATGTTATGTTCGTGGTGTGGTAGTACTCCTTCGAATAAATAAATAAATAAATCTGGCTACAATTGTTCTGTGATTGTTTGTATGTTCGCACTACACAGTTTATACAGGGATTGGTAAACCTGAGACAATGACATTAGAAATGTATTAAAAAGTTGGTTGCCTATGTCAACCATTCACAACACTTATGTTATAAATGGTTGACACAAGACAGAAGACCTTTGTTTAAAAATTATATTTGTACTGAAGGAGAGTAGATAAGGTTTTTAAACAGTTTATTGAACCTGTCAAACATCTCCAATTAGCTTCAGTCACAAATTCATATACCACATTTCGAGTTGCGCTACACTAGCTAGAAAACTCGCACAGCATGTGAATAGCATTTACTTAGGTACTTAACATAGGCACAATGACATTAAACTTTATATATTTTATTTTTGATACAAAGTTAATGAATCAAAAGACTAGATAAATTATTAAACTAAATATTATATATTCTGATCTAGATTCTACTTAGAATATATTATTATGATTTGTTGTTAAATCAACCATTGGACATTAAAACTGTTAAATACCAAACGTCACCATGCTTATGTTAAGGGAGTATCTAAATGTCAATCAGTCTTTAAAAATATAGTAAACTCATCTATGACAATTAATTTTAAAGACATTCTTGTCTGTGTATAAATACAGGTGTCCCTAGAAGTATAGACCAAATCGAATATATAGATATGAAATAGAAGTGTGATTCTTATCGTTATAAGAGTTATAACCAATTTTTTTATTTTGAGCAGTGATTTCCCAGCATTTAATAAAAAAAAGCTTAAAATGGTCACATTACATTTCCCAATGATCCATACTTACAGGGACACCCTGTATAGTAGTTAATAGTAATATTAGCAAGTATAGTTCAGAAAACTATTTCGGAAGTAGGTCACGTAAATCTTTATGCAATTTTGATTGTAGATGTATAGGTATACCCATTGCTGATTCTCATATTGTAACTAACTAACTGATTAAGTAACTAACAACAATTGTTAAATTATATTGTTGTAAATTTTTATGTTCATCGGCTTACACACGTAGTTAACTTTTTGACGAGGAACTCGACTAGTTTCGTCATGCAATAGATAGAGGCACAATTTATGAACATCATTCTCACGCTGCTAGCCTGCTACTCATATAATATAGCATGGCTTGAAACTAGTACGCCGTTAAAACATAATAATTAATTTGGTATGACTCACGTAAGTTATAATTTAAATTTCTTGTGCATAATTTCATACTTTACATACACAAACGCGGAATAATAAAATTAAATTATGACGTTTGAAAAATATTTTTAAACCATAGACATTACGCTCAATAACAAGAGCTACCACGACTAGTCGACTGACTAACTAGCCACAGCACAGCTTGCTTATTGCATAGATTTCTTATAAATATTTATTATTATTTCGCCCAGCACCCCTACACTATTATATTCCTTCATCATCATATCAGCCATAGGACATCCACTGTTGAAGATAGGCTTCTCCCAATGACTTCCAGATAGGCAGGTTGGAAGCGACCTACATCCAGCGGCTCCCCTCGACCTTGAGCAGGTCGTCTGTCCACCTTGCGGATGGACGTCCTCCGCTGCGCTTGCCTTTTATTCCTTAACTACGTATATTATGATGTACTTGTTCTTCATCTGCAATAGTTATATTTACTATTTCTAGTGTGGTTGGGTCTTTGAGAACATCGATGCGTCTAGCTTGTTTCAATTCTGAAAATAAATAAGGAAGAGTGTTACATAAAATTATCTATAAATATTGTTTGGGTAGTATCTGCTAGTAATTACAACCAATGTTATTAGGTCTTGGCTAGTCGCTAGGTCCTATTTGACCAAATGGGAATTTCCTAGTATCCTTGTGGGTACTGCTAAGGAATGGAATTCCTTGTTTCAAAGCCCGAGTGAATAGGTTGCTTGGGAAAAAATCAAACCATAATAATACATTTGACAGCTCCAATAGTACTTGAAAACAGGACTTCAAGGTATGTTAGTGCTATCCAGTGAGCGCAGAAACGTTAGGTATTAATGTTAAAAATGTCTATAAATACCTTCCTATAAACTGCTTCTTTAGTCTAATAGCCTCAAATGATTGAGAGAATTTTACAGCACCTTTTTATTGTGTGACCAAAAAGTGTCTATGTGCCCTGCGCACACATAGACACTTTTTGGGTTCTAGACTCATATCAATCAATTTTTGATCAATTCTGAGTATGTTTTAAGTGGAAGCACCATGACATACATATGCACAAGGTCATACATAACATCACGCCTTTTATAGCAGGCAGAGTTGCACATTACGGCACTCAACCACTGTACCACTGTAACACCCATTTTTCACTATTTATGTTATGAGTCCCATATAATAGGGGCCATGTAAAATTCTTATATGTACCTATATGACAATGAGCCTATTGCCATATAGGTACCGGGCACAATTCCAGAGCCCGTGCTACTACTCAGATTTGAAAAAAAAAACACTAATACTTTGCCCGACCCGTGAATCGACACCCAGTAAAAAAGCCACTTGTATATAAACTTCGGTCTCTAACTCAAGTAAGGCCAGCTCAAGAACCTTGGACTGTGGAGTCGTTCCATGATTTACATTTATATTTGCTTAACAAGGTTAGGATTTTATAAAATTTCAAATGAAACTTACTTAATATGGATGAAAAACATGTTGCAGCAGTCAATGCTCTGAAGCCAGGCAACACCCGACTTTCTCTAAGAAGAGTATATACATTCACATTTGGAATATTTCTCTTAATTAACAATACTATTTTTACAAATACTCTTTCTGGACTCCACTCCTTCCTGTAATATATAAAATTAAATGTGAATATTACTAACTAACTATAGTTTAATATGTTTAATTAATTCAACACTTTTTTCTTATTAACAAGTGAAACACGTGAATCTATTTCTGCAAATAGGCTACAATAGGTGCATAAATAGGTAGCACTTTCACATGTCAATATTATCAAGCAGACCATGATGCCAAATGCCGAATGAGAGTGTGGAATGAGAGTGAGTAAGGAAAGAGTGTTGTTATCTTTAGCTGCTTATTAAATAGGGTTATTACTTACTTATTGGAAACCTTTACTTTATTGATTGTGTGGAGAATTTAACAAAAGACTAAGACTAATAAATGAAGCCTGACAATAAGTTACAATAGGTTGACATACAGCAAAGTTGACAATTAATTTTTCTCACTTGATATGGAGATTTATGCGAAGGCATGTGACAAAACCAATGGTAAATCTGTGTACATGTGTGAAAACTATGGTATGGATAGGACAGGTAGAATTGTTTCTACTTATCTTTCATCATCATGGCTTCCTACCTACTACCTCTAGCTTGCAACCAAAGAAGACAGACTATACTAAAGGGGGGTTTGATTAAGGAATATGGTATAGGGGGTTTGGTTCTCCAATAAATTTAATGATAAACCATTTACCGTAAAGTGGCATTGAGCCGCTCTTTTCCTGGTTTTGATTCCATTATGCTAGTGTGGTCTAGGTTGTCCCATTTATAGGTCTTCTTATTTTGCTTACGTAGTTCTATCTCGGCGGACTTGTTGCTGCGCTAGTGTTTTGGGATGTTCTTTATTCAACCAAGATTAAAATTTATCTGCAAATAGAAATTTAAAAGTATAACTAAAGTTTTTTTGTACAAGTATTGAGAGTCATGCTTCGGCACCAATGGGCCGGCTCGACCGGAGTTACACCACGGCCGACAGAAAGCAATGATTGCATTGTGTTTCGTCGTGTGAGACAGGTTATTGGAGGCCTCCCCTCCCTCCCCAATCTTGCCAGTCCCTGAACCCTCAACAATCCTCAAGTTCCTTATCACCAAAAAGCCAGCAATGCTCTTGTAATGCCTCTGGTGTTTTGGGTGTCCATGGCCGACGCCGATTGCTTACCATCAAGTGATCTGTGTGCTCATTTACAGTTTTATCTTATCCCATAAAAAACCTAATATTGATTTTGTTTATCGAAATCTCTAGATTTAGGTATTCCTCATCTTTACTGATCTACGTATTTCTAGAATTACTAAAGAGTAAAATTATAAAATATGTTATTCCAGATGTACGAAATAATTATTAAGTAGTTCTTATGATTTATAACTATTGACTCCTGGGTGGTTTTGCCCACTGCTTGGGTCCTGTTGATCATAGCGTGATGTTCTATTTCTATAGCCTATACACTTCCTAGCTATAATTTGTTTGAACATGCTATTCTCCGAAAGTACTGATGTGATTTGAAAAACTTCCTTTCCTGTAGTTCATGTGTTAAAGATTTATTTTAAAACATCACACTACAATCAATAAAGGATGAGCAGTGGGTGTAACTCCATGAGTGTAGCTAGTACTTAATTAATACATAGTTAGCATACCATTATCTTTTGGCTGGAAATTTAGCTTCCAACAACACAGACTTGATTGAAGAAGTTACAATGAAGAAATCATCCGCACTGAAGTTGAGCCTCTGAAAATAATGAAATGTAGGTAATAATTAATTATAAAGGTAATTAATACATAGTGCATATGTTATATATTATACATAGTATATTATATAATATAGTATATAGACTATTACAGAAACCTGAAGAGTAGATTTTTTTAAATGCAATCAGGAACAACTGGTCTGAATTGAATAATATTTTTGTGATGGATAGCCTGTTTATCGAGAAAGGCTATTGAACATCACGCTACGGTCAATAGGCGCCGAGCAGAGAATGAAACCGTGGGAAAGCAGTAAGTTGAACATATGTCACCCCCTTTAATCCTTTAAACTGTCAAACACCGGTCACCGGAGACCGCAACCTATTGTTCTTTAATTGTATCTATAAATACGGTACTCGACGAGTTAAGATAAGTATAGTGTGATAATTTAATATGGGAGTTTTTAAACATTAATGGGTAAAACTTGTTCTGATTGAAAAAAAGTAAGTGAGCTTAGTAATGTAACAAATCTTGTTAAAATATTAAATTGTGGTTATAAATATATATACTACTAGCGGACCCGACAGACATTATCCTGCATATCCACTTGAACATATAAACAAAAATTCATTCAAATTAGTTCAGCCGTTTAGGATAACTAACCTAAACATCGACTGCAGCGCCATTTGTCGGGTTGATTTGTGACTCTAAACCATTGCCAGATTCCCTTGAACACATACAAACAATTACATCAAAATCGGTCCAGTCATTTGAGAGAAGTTCAGTGACATACACGCTCACAGAAGAATTATATATGTAAAGAATTACCTAGTGAAATAATCAAATGAATATGTACTTACGAATGGTATCGACTTTCAAAACTTTAACCGAACGAAGGGCTTCTTTCTATATAGAGAGTTACCGTTTGCTCCGATTAGTTCAATGAAAGTTATTTTTTCAAAAAAGTTAAATGAAGTATGATTAAAGACCATCTTCACTAGGAGGTATTTTATTATCTTTTAGAAAAAATATTATACCCTCTAACAAATCAATAATTAAGTTAAAATTTACTATGCTGCATGTTTATATTTATATTATACCAAGATCAACCGCGTCCTAATTTTATTTACCTACTTAAGTAGCTGTCATTTTCAGCCTGTCAGATCGAAGATAAAATATAATATGTCAAAATTTTGTCTGTGGTGTGGTGTTGGGACGATTTCATAGATGCGTAGATCATCATTGATGTAAACATATAGATTAGAATGGAAACACCTATGGAAAATGCATTGCACCGTAACACAAAAAATAGTATGTTAGAAATGGCGGAGGATGAAGGCAACACTCAAATAAAATTGTTGCAGGATAGAATAGAGGAATTGACATGTCATATGTCAACTGAATAATGCTCATGAGAAAATTAAAATATTAACGTTGGAAAATAGAAATCTGAAACCGAGTAATAAAGACTATAGGTAAGGTTTTATGAAAAACTAGCTTCTGCCCGCGACTTCGTACGCGTAATCCCATTTTTTTCCGTCCTAGTTCGTGATTTTCGGTAAAAAGTAAAAAAAAAATGTTGGTTAAAAGTATCCTATGTCGGTCTCCTGGCTCTAAGCTACTTCCCTACCAATTTTCAGCAAAATCTATTCTGCAGTTCTTGAGTTATAAGTGGTGTAACTAACACGACTTTCTTTTATATATATAGATGTTAATATCATTTTCAACGGTCGTTACGACCATCAGTCAACCTTCAATAATTTACTAGGTACGTATGGATGTAGATATGTAGTTATGCATATGTGTTGAATTCTAACCGAAATCTATCTAATACTGACGATTCATACCGACCACAATATGGAACAATTAATAGCAAGAGTCAGAAAATTATTGTATCCGATTTAATAAACAAAATCTCATACAGTAGTACATTAGAAGTCATTGATTCAAACAGCCCAATAGTGGACTGTCTTCTAAAAAATGTTTATATTTAATCAAATGAAGGATGGTAACAACACTGACAAAGCTTTTGAATTTCAAGGTTTGGTCATCATTGTGGAAGTATCAAAGAGTATAGTAATATAGGGGAGTGTCATGCTTCGGCACGAATGGGCTGGCTCGACGGGAGTGTTACCTACGCGTTATGGCCTCACAGAAAACCGACGTGAAGCAACGCTTGCGTTCTGAGGACCAAGCACGAATAACTATCGCATTCGTATCGTAACAGTATCGAGCGAGTTAAGCGTTCTGATTGGTTGGTTCACTTGAGCCGGCCAATCAGAGCGCCGAACGCGCTCGATACTATTACGTTACGAATGCGATAGTTATTCGTGTTTGGCACTCAGTTTCGTCGTGTGGGTGAGGTTACCGGAGGCCCAATAACCCCCCCCCCCTTTCCTAAACTCCCCAATCCCTGAATCCCAAAAGGCCGGTAACGCACTTGTAACGCCTCTGGTATTCCAGGTGTCCATGGGCGACGCCGATTGTTTACCATCAGTTGACCCGTCTGCTCGTTTACTGGTTTATACCATAAAAAAAGCATTCCACGTAGCGCATCTAAGGTATTCCACGTGGCCCACCCATAGGTGGCTTTAAATAACAATAATTTTTTTTTCACATCTCTAGTTCAATCCGCCATGTTACAAAACATGTTTTTTGTTTTTATAGGTATTTCCAATCTAACTGATAATACATCTATGACGGTCTGTGGCCTGATTAATGATGATGACAGGGATTTTATAATAATGTTGCACGAATGACGAAACGCTTGTACATATTAACGTAATTATATCTGGAAATTTTACTATAAATGCAAATATTTTTAAAACTTACACTAGAAATATTACTAATTTCCTCGTTCTCGTTCATGTCTATTCATGGGTTAATGGACTCAGCAAGATTTTATTGACGTTTACGTTTGAAAATATTTCAAAATAAACAAAGGGATAAAAGACTCACTGCAACTGATGTAATAATAAATTATCCAGTATTGGTATGATGAAATTAGCAATATATAAGTGAAATCGTTTGATAATCGTTTCACAAAGTGACATTGTCAAATTGACAAAAAATAACACCAGTATCTAAATCAAATTATATTTGTAAGGTCACGCGTCTGTAACTTATTTTTAATTTTTTATTTAATATATCTACGCAGCTATGAAACCAAGAATACTCCTCTTCGAACTGAAAGTATTGAAACAATGGGCCTCCAAGAGAAGTTGAAGGTTCTGCTGAAGTATTCGAAAATAGTGGCAGTAATAGGAAGTGGTGCTTTTTGTGTTTATTACAGTATTGGTCAAACCTGCAAAACATTAAATAGTATTGTTAATCCAAGAGTAGTTGACCGGGAAAAGAAACATGTAGCAGAGTATATTTACGTCGATGATCCCTCGTACAACCGGACATTCCAAGTGGAGTATGATAAGGCGACAAAGCAGTCTGTGGGTCTGGCGCGCATCTGGAAGAGCTTGAAGCATTCCTTAGCATGGAGACTTTTGTGGTTGTGTCGAAATGGAAATAAAGATCAAAGGAACATAGCGCTAGAACAATTAGCTTCATTCAAAAATAACAAAGTATGGGATTGCTGTAAACTTGCTCAAGCTATAGATGAGAATACTGCTGTGTTGTTGGCACGGACTTTTGGTGCTGACTTGCGATATTTCCTTCCACCTCCAATACACATTCGTAGAGCTGCATTATCTAATGAACTAGTGTCTTTCAAATTAAGAGACCTTATTATTGCTGTACAAAGTGTAAATCCTCATAGCTGCATTGAACACTTTCTCTCCAAATACTTTGCAAATGTACAAGAAGCAGCAATGGAATCGGATAGTATACCATCTAAACCTGATAATATTGGTGAAAGAGATCTGTGTATATCCTGTATGGATGCTATATATCACCATGTTACTCTTTTCAGTTGTAAAGATTATGACAAAGATATTTCAACACAAAAATTGATCAGTATGGGGCTACTACCTATATTAGCTGAAACTATGTTAAGAAATCGCAATGATCAGGATTGTGACCTAGCTGTGCTCAAAGTTCTTACTGTGTTGAGTGTTCATTGCAATTTGTTGAAAGACTTTTTTCAAAATGGCCTCATTGGTGAATTATCACGACTTATACGGTCAAAGGATATAAGGTTATCAAGTTCAGCAGCAGTATGCCTCGCAAATTTATCTGGAGAATTTTGCTACAGACCGGGATTATATTTGTTACATCCTCTCTACAGAACTACAGGTACTACTGCCTGCGATACTTTGCTTGTGCATGGACTCAGGGGAGGTGTATTTGTTACATGGAGGCAACGGGACAAAAAGTGTGCTCAGCCGGTTGGAATAATCGAAGTTACTGTCTCTGATTTTGACTGTGAGACAACCGAGGTTGTAACAAAGCCAGAGAAGAAATATTTAGATCCTGATATGCAGCAGGTAATGGAAGATTTAATAGAAATAGGAGATGAAGCATTACTATCAGATTTAGAAGTAGTTCTCCACGATATCCCTATTGAAGCTATGAGAGAACCCCAGTCATCTAACAATTTTACTGCTAATCACAAAAGAATTGCACTAAATCAAGAAGAAGAAGACAAATATAATTATACAGCCTGCTGGCCTAAAGACTGGCTGCCAAAAGATATCAGTAACTTGAGAATACTTGGTGTGAATTACTGGACCTCACTGTCAGAATGGCTTGAAAGATGTCCTTTACAAACAGCAGACATAGCAACTCGGGCTTATGAAATGGTACCTGCTCTTATAGACGCTGGTGTAGGTAATAAAAGTACACCAGTAGTCTGGCTAGCTCATTCTATGGGTGGATTAATTGTCAAACAAGTGCTAGTTGAAGCGTCCCAAAGTGATCAGCAATTATTGAAGAAAATTGCTGAGAACACTAAAGCTGTATTATTTTTTAGTACCCCACATAAAGGTAGTTCTATGGCTACAATGCCCCGAGCAGCTGCTGCTGTGTTATGGCCTTCGAATGATGTGAGACAATTACAACAAGATTCACCAGTTCTATTGAACCTACACAAAGCATTCATTGAATTTGCAGATGCTTATAGTTGGGAAACTATAAGTTTTTCTGAAACCATGCCAACACTAGTCACAGCATTTAAAGTTCCTGTACATTTTGTAGAGTCTTTTTCGGCGGATTTGGGCCGTGGTGAATTTTATCAACTACCTCTCGATCATCTGTGTATCTGCAAACCAGCAACAAGACAGTCTATTTTGTATACCACAGTTTTAGATGTTCTACAAAGAGTATCCATTAAGGAACAAGAGTTACCATATTCAAACACTTTTGTCCAAAAAATTTCAGAGTTATTTTGGTGGATTCTAAGGACAAAAGCCAAAGAACTGTTAGAAACTATAGATGAGAATCAAACAAATGAAGGTTTACGATGGACAGAGAGGGTCTTATTGAATACATTCACAGATTAATCTCTATCAAATATATTTTGAAGTATTAATTTTATTATTTTGTAATTTTTTGTTGAAACAATCATTTATTGACATGTAAAACTTTCTGGACTTTGTTTTTTGACATAATGTGTAAGAGAGTCATTCTAACAGTATTCTATAGTGAGAAGGAAACATACATGGTGCCATTGATTTAAGAAAATAATGCTTAAGGTAGGTATTTTTGTATACTCGTTTTATTTGAAAATTCTATTTATTGATATTCTGAATGTCATGTTTCCTGTTACCTGCTATTGAGTAAAGTATTTTGTGTTAAAGAAATTATTTTTATTTACGTTGTTCCCTAGTTTGAAATCATCATTCAACCAACATGCATTCAATTTATAATCTGATAATCCATATAATATTATGTCTACGTATGTATTTATTTATTTATATTAATTTACCTTTCAGTTCGTTTCTAAGTACCTACCTACTATAATAATATGCTAGAAGAAACTATGATATTCACTTGGCCAATGGCCAAAGCATAGTTTTATTTATATATTCTTTGTTACATCGCTTCCTTTGTTTACGATTTATAAATAGTAATGGGTCCACATGAGCGACTCGAAGGTATCTGAAGTATCCTCGTTGGTACTAAGGTACTCTAAAATACCCATAGGTAGGTAGTAGGTAGGTAGGTACATAGGTTTGTAACGTGGTTTGTGAGAGCTATTTCAGCACGAATGGGTTAGCTTCATCCGAGTAATACCACGGCCTCACAGAAAACCAGCGTGATACAACGCATGCCTGCGTGTTTCACTTCATCGTGTAACTGAGGTTACTACCGGACGCCCATACCTCCCTCTGTCCAAATGACCGACAACGCATTTGTAACTCCTCTGGTGTTGCGGGTGTCGCTGATAGTGATGCTCGTCACTCCGGCGGCGGCGCACATAAATAGGCCCCTACCGGTACTGCAGACGCGGAGATGCCACAATGTCTCTTTAGATAAATAATTGTTTATACTATATCATTCAACAAAACCCATCCAGGCGGCATTTTTTAAAGTAAAAAATGTTAAATATACCCTACCTATGTGACATCAGAGCCCCCTGTGTGCGTTTTCAAAAACAATGTTTCTTAAAATAAGCACAGATGGCACTGCCACAGCTATGTTGCCAGTTTCGGATCGTCGAAACCGTATGTAGTACTTTATTTACAGTCACTACCGTATTTATTGCATTCCTACATACAAAATTACTCTCCCCTGTAGTCTACACCGTGAAATATATTATTAATAACGTTTTTGGGCAGATTTAAAATGGTTTTGTTTCGATAATACAATCGTTTTTCAAAGAAATAAAATATTTAAAACAAAAATTATCGATAAATAATTGTAAAAAGCAAACTTCGAAAGTGCATACGAGTTCTTAGTACATTATCAAATCTTTGTACATGTTGGTACATTGCATGGTGGCAATGTGCACCTCTGCCTATCCCTTCTCAGATAAAAAAAGCGTGATGTTATGTTATGTACTTACTACAATTATTTAGACATCAGTTACATACGGTGAAGGAAAACATCGTGAGGAAATCTGGACTTATATTTTAATTACAAGCTTCTGCCAGCGGCTTCGCTCGCAATCCCAGGGGTAAAATGCCTATGTATTACTTCAGACTATGGTCTATCCAGAGGTAGATTATGATCTACCTCTGTTCTGAATTTCATTTTGGTCCCTTCAGTCGTTTTAATATGACTGGGTAATAAACATACACACAAACAAGTAAACTCACATATTTTCACATTTATTGTATCGGTTCAAGCTAATTTCAAGCATCAGACCTACAGTTACAGCGTAAAGTCCACCTATACCGATTTTTAGTAGTATTATAAATTAATATTATAAACGTAAGAGTAAACAAACATATGAAGAAAGCTCCGAACTGCTAAGCTATTGAGAATTTCACGTGTTATTATGAGTCAAACATAAAAGATAGAAATATGCTGTTGTGGGATATTTTTTAGATAATTTTATGTAGAACAATTCCATTATACATGATTTCTATGTATCTTTAACCATTAAGCACCACACGCGACGAAAGCTTAAGAAATGGAGCAACTTCTCCCGTTTTCCCAACATTTCCCTTCACTGCTCTGCTCCTATTGAGAAAGTATACTATAACCTCCGTTTCGTTAAAATCCGTCGAGTAGTTTTTGTTGCTATAAGGAACATACAAAGTATACAAACAGACAGACAGACAAAAATTTTACTGATTGCATTTTTGGCATTAGTAGCGATCACTAATTACCCTGATAGTTATTTTACGGCCTCACCGAAAACCGACGTAAAGCAACGCATGCGTTGTGTTTCATCGTGCGTGTGTGGTTACCGGAGGCTCAATTACTCGCTTCTCCCTTTCCCTAATCTCCCCAATCCCTCAAAAAGCCGGTAACGCTCTTGTAAAGTCTCTGGTGTTCCAAAAATCCACGGGCGACGCCGATTGCTTACCATCAGGTGATCCGTCGGTTCGTTTACCGGCTTATGCCATAAAAATTGTAAATATATTCCATGTACAGAATAGTCCTCCAAGGTACAATAAAAATGATAAAACAAATAATTATTTGCGAACACATTCGAATTGTACCAAAAATAAAAAGTGGCAACATTAATTTTATCCAGTTTCGGCATGCCGACTAGATGTCACTACTGCCGCTTTATGAAAAAGCTCAGAATAAAATTATGAAAGACGACGAAGCTAAAATCTTACTTACTCGATTAATGTTTTTGACAGATTTTACAAGAATGTGAATTCTTGAGTCCCTCTTTAGCTCTATTTAATGTTATTTTTTAAGTGTTGTAAGATAGGATGTAACTATGTAAGTGAGGACCAACTATGTAAGGAGTTATTTATTACTCCTTAGATTCGTTTTTGATAATGACATAAAAAGACAGGCATAAACGGGCCCACTACAACCTATGGCTATCTGCGACATTTTTTAAATTCCCATTAGTGTGTACCTACAAACCTGTTCGATTGTCTAATTATTATTATAATTATGTATTATATTTTTAAATACATTATATTATATTCAGTTATAATATATTCTATAAGTTCATATTATTATTTAATAACTGTTAACCACAATTTCCCCTATACCTACTCTTTGACCACAAATGGAACCACATCTTAATATATAGTTTAACAAATTGTCACCTAGATGTCGCTATTGGGCGCTTTCGTGATGGAATAAGGCTTCATCACCATAATTCACTGTAATAACGGTCGAATAGATTTGTGAGAAGTGAGAAGCGTCTCCAAAAAATAGCCAAAATATATAATGCCCCTCTGATTACCTACAATTCATAAATTGATTAATTAAATAGGTACCTACAAATCGTCTATTCAATCCTTTAATATTCTTAGTATTCCTAGGTATTATTCAGTATTCAAGCATTGAGTACCTAAATGGTAGTTAGTATTCAAGTATTTCCAGGTTTTCAAATATCCATATAGATAGCTACAATTTTTATTTCTGTATATATCATAAATAAATATTAATTTCAGTTATACCAATGTAACTAGGATAAGTAGGTCGTCATCAATTAGGTCCCTACACATAATTATAAATTAATTATTACTTACTTAGTTAATGAGACCATTAAAAACAAATTTAGAAACTGATGTCGAAAGTAATCGCTTACAATATTAAATTTTCATTAAACAAAATACATCGAATATATAAATAGGTACATTCCGGAAAGATAATTTTATTTATTCTCTATTACCTCTATGAACAATAAGTATAATCTCAGTAGGGCACGTAAAACGAAGTAAAGATAAAAAGTACTTCTAATAATTATCCCTGTAATCTGGATAAGCAAGTAATTAAAATGAAGGCTCAAACCCAGATTTCGTTATAATTAATTCGTGTAAAATCGATATGAACCGCAATGCGATGACCCACATGCCACGAGCAGAGATCAGGGGTGGGCCGAGGATATTTCTGCTTAGACATATTTTATGAACAAAGAATAAATGAAATCTATCTGTAAATCAGAATATTGAACATCAGAATTATATAAAAATAATATTTATATTGAATGCCCCCTACTTTAAAACTATGTTTATACCGATTGGGCCGTGTACTTAGTAAGTTAATCAAGTTTATTAAGTAAGTACTAAAAAAATTAATGGAGAAATTTGTAGATATAATTATTTATTTACATTTTATTCCTTTATTATTGTATAATATATTTGTAGTAACCTACGGATGTTTCCTATGCTAAAGTATGAAAGTAGAGAACGTGTTGGATCGATTGCAATGATAATATGAATACAATTAGGTCATGACTGTCAGCTAGGTGGATAAACGAAAAAAATATTTATCACAAATTATTTCATTGATTTGAATATATGTTTTATAATCAACAACGGAGTTTACCTACAATATCTATCCGATTGACTGCAATACCAATGTCTTTGTTGTAGGATGGTAGATACGTTTATAGCTAACTTTAAATTTTAAATATCAACTCTAGACCTTTCGTGTGTACAAGTAAATTCTAAACATATTTTTTCTTACTTTTACGTATAATTATGGATGTAGGTGACTAAATTCAGCATAACAATAGTCATTATTAACGAATATAAAAATATCGCTTACGGCAGGTACTTTATTGCAAGTATAGTTTTAATGTCAGTAATATATTTTTATAGTTTTGCACAGTAGATAAAATACATCGTACATTTTTATTAATCTGCCGATATCACGATATTCAGCTGGATGGAACGAAACGTAGCGCTCTAGCCCCCTACCACAAAGTGCCCCGCCCGAAACACCCAACTCCCCATTCCTGCATTGGGACGTGGGGAAAATTTCCCCACACTCACCCCCTTTATGATAGGGGGTGAAGGCTTGGTCGTACAGTTACGGCATCTATTATACGAAACAGGAAACTTTTAGTTTCTATATTATCCGACAGATAGAGCTAGGAGCGCTGCTGCAAAAGTTTAATAAAGTTTAGTTTTGCCGC